TGATGACATGACACTATACATAGAGAATCCTAAAGATGCTACCAGAAAACTACTAGAGCTAATCAATGAACTTGGTAAAGTAGCAGGATACAAAATTAATGCACAGAAATCTCTGACATTCCTATACACTGATGATGAAATATCTGAAAGAGATATTAAGGAAACACTCCCATTTACCATTACAACAAAAAGAATAAAATACCTAAGAATAAACCTAGCTAAGGAGACAAAAGACCTGTATGCAGAAAACTATGACACTGATGAAAGGAATTAAAGATGATACAAACAGATGGAGAGATATACCATGTTCTTGGATTGGAAGAATCAACATTGTGAAAATGACTATACTACCTAAAGCAATCTACAGAGTCAATGCAATCCCTATGAAACTGTCAATGGCATTTTTCACAGAACTACAACAAAACATTTCACAATTTGTATGGAAACACAAAAGACCTCAAATAGCCAAAGCAATCTTGAGAAAGAGAAACTGAGCTGGAGGCATCAGGCTCCCTGACTTCAGACTATACTACAAAGCTACAGAAACCAAGACAGTATGGTACTGGCACAAAAACAGACATATAGATCAATGGAACAGGATAGAAAGCCCAGAGATAAATCTATATACATATGGTCACCTTATATTTGACAAAGGAGGCAAGAATATGCAATGGAGAAAGGACAGTCTCTTTAATAAGTGGTGCTGGGAAAACTGGACAGCTACATGTAAAAGAATGAAATTAGAATACTCCCTAACACCATACACAATAATAAACTCCAAATGGATTAAAGACCTAAATGTAAGACCAGACACTATAAAACTCTTAGAGGAAAACATAGGCAGAGTACTCTGTGACATAAATCACAGCTAGATCCTTTTGGACCCACCTCCTAAATAAATGGAAATAAAAACAAAAATAAACAAATGGCACCTAGTGAACCTTAAAAGCTTTTGCACAGCAAAGGAAATCATAAACAAGACAAAAAGACAACCCTCAGAATGGGAGAAAATATTTGCAAATGAAGCAACCGACAAAGGATTAATCTCCAAAATATACAAGCAGCTCATGCAGCTCAATATCAAAAAAACAAACAACCCCAGTGCAAAAATGGGCAGAAGAACTACACAGACATTTCTCCAGAGATGATATACAGATTGCCAACAAACACATGAAAGAATGCTCAACATCATTAATCATTAGAGAAATGCAAATCGAAACTACAATGAGGTATCACCTCATACCAGTCAGAATGGCCATCATCAAAAATCTACAAACAATAAATGCTGCAAAGGGTGAGGAGAAAAGGGAACCCTCTTTCACTGTTGGTGGGAATGTAAATTGATACAGCCACTATGGGGAATAGTATGGAGGTTCCTTAAAAAACTAAAAATAGAACTCCATAGGACCCAGCAATCCCACTACTGGGCATATACCCTGAGAAAACCATAATTCAAAAATAGTCATGTATGACAACGTTCATTGCAGGTCTATTTACAAAGCCAGGACATGGAAGCAACCTAAGTGTCCATCGACAGAAGAATGGATAAAGAAGATGTGGCACATATATACAATGGAATATTACTCAGCCATAAAAAGAAACAAAACTGAGTTATTTGTAGTGAGGTGGATGGTCCTAGAGACTGTCAGAGTGAAGTAAGTCAGAAAGAGAAAAACAAATACTGTATGCTAACAGATATATGGCATCTAAAAAAAAAAAGGGTTCTGAAGAACCTAGGGGCAGGAGAGGAATAAAGATACAGACGTAGAGAATGGACTTGAGGACATGGGAAGTGGGAAGGGTAAGCTGGGACGAAGTGAGAGAGTGGCATGGACATATATACACTACCAAATGTAAAATAGATAGCTAGTGGGAAGCAGCCGCATAGCACAGGGAGATCAGCTCGGTGCTTTGTGCCCACCTAGAGTGGTTGGATAGGGAGGGTGGGAGGGAGATGCAAGAGGGAGGAGATATGGGGATATATGTATATATATAGCTGATTCACTTTGTTATAAAGCAGAAACTAACACACCATTTTAAAGTAATTATACTCCAATAAAGATGTTAAAAAAAAATAAAGGTTGGTGTTAGCAGATGTAAGCTATAATATATAGAATGGATAAACCACAAGGTCCTACTGTATAGTACAGGAAACTATATTTAATACCCTATGACAAACCATAATGGAAATGAATATAAAATAGAATGTGTATATATACATATACACATATATATATGTATATATATATACTTACATACATATAACTGAATCCCTTTTTTATACAGCAGAAATTAACACAACATTGTAAGTCAACTATACTTAAAAAAACCCAAGAAACAATTAACCCGGCCTGTGTCCCAACCTCAAGTTCCCCTTCTTAGAGAGGTACCAACAAGCTAATCTGACAAGCAAATTCCTATCCACGTATTAAGTTCTTACCCTTCTTAGGTAAATGCGTAGGTTTTGAACAATGCCGTGCTTCAGTCAGTGCAGAGGCTCAAATGATAGGCATTTGAAGGACTCTGGTAGGCAAGCACGGTGGGTGAAAAGATTATAGGCTTAGAGTTTTAGAGTGACCTCAATGCATACTCCATGGATGGGCCCATCCTCCCCAGTGCCCTGGGCTGCTTCGAAGTTCCTCCTAGTCTCTTGCAGTTTGGGGATAGTTAAGGTTAAAGATGTGTAGATGGGAGCCTGGGAAAGAGCTGGACGTGGGAGGGTTGGAATGGGCAGAGCCTAAAGGATGCCAACCTCCTGCAAAAGAACCTGGCATGCCATTCAGAGTGGCATTCTGTTCCACTCTGGGGAGGAGGTGCCAGGGAGAGGTTGTTAGGGAGGGGTCATTACCACCGGACAGGATTGAAGGGTTAACAGTTCAAAGAGACCAGAAACCAGACTGAAGGCCACAAAATGGACTGTGGGACTTCCGGTGGGGTCTCAGACGGGAAGTGTGATTCTACTCTTAATTCTAATCCTCCTTTATAGGGACCATTTTGTTTCCTCTGAATTCTTTTATGAACATTGCTTTCTGGATGTTCCTTTCACCCTGAAACTGAGCAGCGTTTCTGTTTCTCTTGGACAACCATGGGACTGCTCTCAAGTTCTTGCCTGTGTTTTCACAGATACCTACTGGTATCAGAAGCCAACACTTTCACACCAAACACTAGGTTGGGTAAAGGGTGGAGGCTAATGAGGGGTGGATGTGGTTTGTAATAAGTATACATAAAAATAAAAAAGAGTAGCCAACCCCCCCGGTGCTTTGCGACGCCATTTAGATCAGACTGTGCTTTTCCGGACCTCATGAAGGGAAGGATTGCTCAAGCATTTAGTGTTACTCTGTCCTCTCTCGTTTGCCTTTCATTCAATCAAACCTCATGAGGCATTTGGCATCAAGGGGCAGAAGCCTGGGAAGAAGAAAGAAACTCCGAGAAGCTGGTGGTTTGGCTGGGTTGATTCACAGGTTGCAGTGTTACCAAATACTCCTGGGCTTTAAGCCAAAGGGTCTTGCTGTGAGGAAGCACTTTGACACCTTATGGCATCCCTTCTGCAAGTCCTTGCTAATGTTTACTCGGAACACTGTAAATTTCAGTCTACTTGCGTGAAAAATACAAGTCTTGCTGGGCTGAGGTAACTTAGAGCAGGGGGGATTGTGGGGGATTTTGTCTCCCCCAACCCAGGGGATGCCTGGCAATGTCTGGAAACATGATTTTATTGCCACTACTGAGGGGAGGACTTTCTCCTCTCTGGAACCCTAGGCGACATCTGAAGACATGGTTGATTGTCACAAGTGGGGTGGAGGTGGAATACTGGTATTTAATGAGTGGAGACCAGGGGTGCGGCTAAGCACGCTACAATGCACAAAACAGCCTCCGCTACAAAGAATTATCTGTCCTAGAATGTCAGCAGTGCTAAAGGTGAGAAACTCCGGCCCCGAGGGAAAGCCCAGGCTTGGTTCTTGACACTGACGTATCAGATGGTCCTCAAAGGACCATCACTTTTCAGTATTGGGGAACAAGTACCCTGGAGTGACCTCAGGAAATCCTAGGATAATTCTCATCTACCCATGACCTAGTCAGTTTCATATCTTCATGAGTCCTTAACTTAACATGCTCTGAAAGAGAGAGTGCATCCTCAGGGTGACACGTGCCAAGTTGGTCTCAGAGGTCAAGATCCCATTTTTCTGTAGTACATACAGAGGGTAGCCTTGAGGCTTGGTTTCTCCATCTGTCAAATGGACTCATAATACTTCACGACCTATTTATCAGCTGGGCCTGGTATCCTAGGGAGATGGAGTTGGAGCATAGTATTTGATCTGGTATGAAGGGGGAATATGCGAGTTAAGTACTTCTACCCAACTCCGACTCCAAAATGGCAATAGGATATTGTAGGTGGGGAGAGGCAAACAACAACCTGTGAGATCCAAGTCAGTAGATTGTGCCTGGGGTTCAGTGGGTCATGGGACCAGGAAGTGATTTTCCCTGCCGATGGTAGATAGGGAAGATGCAGAGCCCAGCATGTCTGAGTCTTTCCATGAGGACTGTCAGTGGGCTGAGAGGAAGGGGACATGCAGTTGTGGCAATAGTAGGGGCTGAAGGGGACACAGAAAGCCATGGCAAGAATTTATGCAGAGCTGCTTGGGAAAACAAAAGCAAATACAATATTTCTTTTTCTGATTTTAAAGGAATAACACAGTCGTTGTTGAAATTGTCTCAAGTACAGACAACTATAAAGAGAAAATTAAAATCTCCCATAAATGCACCATGAGGAGATATCAGCTATTAATAGGTGTGGTATTTTCTTTGAGAAAAACAGAGAAGGGTTTTCTGGGCAGAATAGGCCGGGGAGATCAAAAAAGTCTTTGAGAATAGCAGAATGCAACAATGTGGATGTTGACTGGTTCGGAACTATTCTCTCTGAGAGCCAAGAGAGAAGAGTCCTTTCCTGAGCCTGGATGAAGCGCACAGTAGGACAGTTGGACGATGTGTCAAGTTCCCCTTACCTCAAGGTTCATGTAGAAAGCATCCTTAGCATTTGCCTCCATGAATAGAAGAGTTCTTTAGCTGAAAGAGGAAATGACTCATTTTAGCTCAAAGATGATAAAACAGGAGATGCCATTTCTTACTCACTTTGCAGCAATAGCATGACTGAAATCACTGCCCTTCAGTGATGGTATAAGACACCTCTAGTTTGTTTTTTTTTTTGAATTAGTTTTCTATCAACCTTATTATGAAGTAATTTCAAACATAGAAAAGTTGCAAAAATACTGAAAAAAGTTATATTCCCTTTACCCAGATACCCTAATTATTAATACTTTACATTTGGTTTATCATACTCTTTCTTCTTTTTGTTTTTTAATTTTTTGGCCACATCATGCAGCATGTGGGATCTTCAATCCCGACCAGGGATCAAAGCTGCATGCCCTGCAATGGAAGCCCAGAACCGTAATCGCTGGACCGCCAGGGAAGTCCCTATCATTCTCTTTCTTTTCTGTATACACAAATGATTATTTTTATTGAATCATTTGAGAATAAGTCATGATGTCTCTTCACCCTCTAATATTTCTGTTGTGTTTTCTTAAGAGCAAGGGCATTCTCTTATAGAACCATAATGTAATGTCTAAAATCAGAAAATTAACGTTGATATAGTACTATTATCTTATCTACAGATCTTCCTAAAATGTTGCCAGTTATCCTAATTGGGATTTGACTTTGTGAAATTTGGCCCTGGAGACGTTGCATGAAATTTATTGACATATCCTGCCACAGCCATGGCTGAACTGGGAATTTGGCCACTCGAGCTCAAAGCTCAAGTTTGATTCTATCCCATGGGTTCATACGAGCACTGGCAGAAGCCTGCTTTTCGAGATGTGAATAATTTTTGGTAGTAACAGGCTTGTTCCCTGGGCTGTTGCGTGTGGGCTTATATCAGCAGGGCTATTCCCATCTGGAATCATGGTTCCCATCTTGTTCCTTCCAATATATCTGGCTCTAGGTTTTGTCTAAGACATCTTAAACTCTGAGGACTAACTGGCCTGGGTCTGTGAGGCATGAGGTGACAATTGTTAATAGTATGGATCTGAGTTAGAACAAAAATGATTTCAGGACTTGAATACAAATTAGGCTCCTATATGTGTGCAGTTACTTTGTAAAATTTGCTTTGATATATAGACAACAATTCCTAATTTAGTGCTCAGTTTTCTCTTGCACATTCCATGCGAAAATAATCTAACCAGAGTAGCAGGCCAAATAATACTTTTAAATAATTTCTATGTCTTCAAAATCCAGAATCTTGGGGATTATTGTTCAAGGAATCCAGGGCTGAGTGTTCTCCATGCTGACACCCCTGGAGAAGGAAGTGGAAGGAAGGCAGCGGAAGGAAGGCAGCTGTGGATTGCTACCAGCGGCTTCAAGCCAACACGGATCTCTCTCATACACCCGCAATTCCTCAGCATCACTGCTACTGGCCTAATGAATGCAGAAGCCAGACATCTTTGCAATAAAAACCTATGATGTGATGAGCCCATTTGAGCGTAAAACGGCCAGCCCCAAGGCATCAGATAATGAGGTGTCTGGTGAACCCAGAGTTCATAACGCAACTGTCTGGGGCAGCTTTCTCAGAAGCCACCAATTTTTCTCCATAGATACAGTGATGCTGAATTTTTCATTTTAAAATTCTGAACATTCTAGAATGTATTTTAAATTCTGGGTATCATTTCAGGACTTAAAGCCCTCTCTTTGATAATGTTCTAACTCTGGTTAAAACAACCCCTGCTCTGCTCTGTTACCTCCCAAATTAAATTCAAACTTTTTACTCTTTGGCGGGAAACGCTGAAGGGTCAGCAGAGGCTGGGGGAGGGTGCAGGGGTGGGGCACAGGAGGAGGGCTGCGTTGGGGGTGGAAAGTCTGGAATGATGAGCAGCAGTAGTCAGGGCTCTGCAGCAAGAAGAAGTAAAGGAGATTGTGGTCCTTTCACTCCTGCAGTTCAACAAACATTGACTGCCAGGTCTTGGACTCACTTCATTCATTCGTTGTTTATTCATTCAGAATTTTAAAAAATGCCTGGCACACCATTTAGCCCTTGTCACTCTCTACCCCGACTCCCACACCTACTCTCAGTCCTCTTCTGTGCCCTGTGGGCTGGCTCCTGTGATGCTCTTGTCCTCCAGCTCTGGTTGGGTCCCACCCATGGGAGGCAGAGGATGGGAGCAGAACACATCAGGGTATCTGTTTCCCAAGCCCCCTGTCTTCATACTGGCCTGCTTCCAGCAGTGGTTGTGTCTCCACTGCCACAGCTCCAGGTGGGCAGCCCCAGCTCTCACTGGGTCCCAGCAAAATCCCTCCCTCCCCATTCCCCTCTAGGCAGAGAGGGTGGTGACAAATTCCCTTGTTACGTTTCTCAACTCTGCCCACAGGTATGTAAATTATAAGATGACCTTTTCTTAAACATCCTAGCTAAGTATGTCATCTTTTTCCTTTCTGACCCTGACTGCTACAGCCCTTGAATATATGCTGAATTGTGTTCTCATTGCTTGGGACAGACTGGAAAGATTAAAGTTTTGTAGATAGTGTTGACACTAGGTTTCACCAGTGCAGGGTGGGGAGGCGTAACTTAACAGAAGCTCCTGGGGGAGAAATCTCAGAGGTTTAGTCCCTGAAAGACTCCAGTATTGTGTGTCAAAGACTGACTTGATCTCTGGCCACATAATTAGAAGTATGATGTCCAGAATAAGGGAGGTGATAGTGCCACTTCATTCTGTCTGTATTTAGAGTTCTAGGCTCAGTTCTGGGCTTTCCACTTTAAGAGGAGACATGTTAGTTGTCTTTAAGTGTTAGAAGTTCTGTCATATAGAGCAGAGGTTGAACAAGTTTTTCTTTAAGGGCCAAATAGTAAATATTTTTGGCTTTGTGGGCGACATGTTCTCTGTTGCAACTACTCTACTGTGCAAAAGCAGTCACAGACAATATGTGAATGAATAGGCTTGACTGTGTTCTAATAAAACTTTATTTACAAAAATGGTGAGCTGGATTTGGCCTGTAGGCTTTATTTTGTTGACTTCTGATATAAGGGGAAAAACATGGATTTTTTTTCTGGGTGTTTCCAAAAGACAGAACTTAGATACATGTGTAAAAATTGTAGGGAGGTCGATTTGTGCTAATTTTAAGGAAGATCTTTCTAAAGGTAATGACTGTTCCTAAACAGGATAAGCTGATTCATGAGGCAGTAGGTTTCTTGTTATTGAACGTGTTCAAAGGAGAAGCTGAGCGTCGCAGAATAATTTTCTGCAAAGCACACAGAGTAACTCAGATGATGAGGAAGGTAACAATACCTCCTATATCTGTATACTTAGTAGAGTACCACATACAGTAAGTCTTCTAGATTTTATACTCTTAGAGGGTAGAGACTGTGCTATATCTATCTTTGCATCCAGCCCACTCCTGAAAGCCTAGGATAGTGCTTTAAACACGGTGGGCGTGACCAATACAGGTTTTGTCAACTTGGCTCTTTAAGTAATCTTGCTGACAGATGAATTAAACTAATTTGTCTTTAGTACAATCATCACTACTAGTCACGTTGAATTAGTTCAATTACCTCTACTAAGCTTCAATACTGAGGATTTTCACTGAAAAGAACAGACATCATAGTGAACATTTATTGAGTTCTAAAAGTATGCCAGCTACTGCGCTAAGAATTTTACATGCATGATTTTAATTCTCCCAAAACCTATGAGGTAGGTGCTATTATCACCCCCATTTTATCGGTGAAGAAATTGAAATCCAGAGAAGTCTCAAAGATGGGAAGTGGTATAATCAAAAATCGAGCTGGGATCTCTTTGATGTCAAAGGCTGTGGTCCAACCACAACGCTATCCTGCTTCTCATTCATTTGTTCATTCATTCAGCATTCAACAAACACCAATTGGCGGCCTGCCATTTGCCAAGCACTTTAGCTGTTGAGGACAGAGCTGTGATTATAAACAGATCAAGTCCAGGTTCCGAAGGAATTTGCACTGCGGGTGGGATATATCTGGGATAGATGTATCATCGACAAAGGAGACGATCTTAAATGGTAATTCATCACAAGACACAGAGATTAAAGAGAGAATCAATATTTCTGTCCACATCAGAACTTCCGGTATACTCCTAACTGATGAGTTCATCCAAGCTCTTTCTTTGTACTGGCATTGGCCCAAGTTTAGTCTTTAGTCTTTTGTCAAATTCTCAGATGGGTTCAGAGATTCAGAAGGAAGCTTCACGCATTTTGGCTACTGATGCAGATCACTATGGTAATTTGTAGATATGTGAATGGAGCTCTCGAAGGGAAAAAAAAGACTCACGAAGCACTCAGGTATCACTCTTCCAGGGCAGGTTGAATCTGAGCATCATCACGCATTTTGGCTACTGATGCAGATCACTATGGTAATTTGTAGATATGTGAATGAAGCCCTCGAAGGGAAAAAAAGACTCACGAAGCACTCAGGTATCACTCTTCCAGGGCAGGTTGAATCTGAGCATCATCAAACTGGGAGACCAGAGGCAAACAGATGAAAAGAGGTAGAAAAAGCCAGTTCAGTTAACGCAAAAATAAAGAAAAAAAAAACCTCTTGGCAACGTTCCATGTTTTCCCTTTCCTGAAACACAGAAATACTAAGAGCCTAAATTCGAACTCCCAGCTCCCAGTATCAAAAAAAAGATCAATATTTATAACAAATGCTACAATGTTGAACGGAAAACACACCAACTTGGGTCAAGCGATGGGCCTTGTTTAGAAGGAGGAAAGCTACCAGGGGGTAGGCAGGGGAGTGGAGGGAACCAAAGCGAAATTCCAAAACCTTGAGTGAGACTGAGATTGAGAGAGAGAGTAAGAGTGCTAAGGTTCAAGCAGCACAAAGCCAAATAAATTGTCAGGTCCAATAGGCAAGTGCTCACTGGAATGGGAGACAGAGCCCAAAGGTCAGGGGCTGAATAAACAGGAGCCCCGAGGAGGAAGTGAAAGAATTCAGGACTTTGTATTGTAACTTTTTGGGTGCTAACTGCCAGGTTTGTATCTTGTGCTAACCTCAA